AAAAGCAAATACATATATATATATAGATATATATATAGCGATGACTCATTCTACGAAATGAAAGAACAGAAAAGAAACAAATGAAATATGACAATAACAATGACTATTGTCAATACATCACCCAAACCTTTGTTTTTAATTATAATTATAACTTCTTAATACATTACCAATTGAAGACATAGGAAGAATAAAAACAAATTCAAATTAATCAAAGCCATAGTGTATGTAACTATGAATAAAGCCAATTCACAAATCTTATATACTCTTTCTTACTTGAATATTTAAATTAGAAAACAGTCGTATGGGAAGTGCGTTATACATTATGTTGCTGTACTTTTTTTCTCAATCATAGAATTTTGTTACTGTGCTTGACAATATATATAACAAACCTGTACGTCATTAATGAGATGATTCATTGATACTACTGCATAAATAGAAAAAGGAATCATTATAAAAAAAAAATATAATCAAACGTGAAATTTTTCTCTTCCTCGGAAAATAGAATCCAATATGCATAAATTTACGTTTTGCATTTTTTAACATAATAAAATGAAGTCCGATGTTATAAAGATGAATGAATTGGCTTGCTGCATAATACGTAGTGATGCAAATGAAATCCAAAATAAATCAGATGGCATCTGATCTGAACTCAAAGTGAAAGAATCGTGTAAAATATGACTTTTAAGTTTCGACAAGGATGATGCGTGATAAAAGAGGAATAAGGCATTCTGAATCGTTTTTTTCCTATCTATGTTTTTATTTTACTGCAGTCAGCTACTTTTCATTATTATTGTAAGTCGAGAAAGTTATGTTATGATCAGTGAGATCATGAGAATCTGCAATCTGCTATTTGCATCTCGCATTCACACACCGATACCTAAAGCTTTGGAAAAATTTCTTGTAAGTTTTTGTAGACAATGAGCCGTCAGTAGACACTCGAATTGATTTATTTAATCGAAAAAAATGTGAACCAAGTCACTGAATATAGTTCAATAAAGTTCTTTGTATTTCTTTCCGTGTATTGAAAAAGCCAGTGTTAGGAAGAGGATATCCAGTTAAATTTCGGAAAAAATCTTGGTAAAATCGATTGTGTATCAATAGTGATTCGTCATAGGCCTTTTTTGATATCGGAAGTAGATAACGAGGTACAGAAGAACCATTAGTATCATCACCAGTAGCAACCACAGCTGCCTGCATACGAGGTGTAGCCATGAATTCGACAAATGCTTGTGCAGCATTAAGCACGTCGTCAGACATATTTCGTCGGAATACATAAGCATCGACAGCAAATAACGGTTGATTGTGCAATGTACCAGCAGGAAATGGAATCAGTTTGATCTTGTTATAGTCATCATGAGCTCCATTTTTGAGAATAGTAGACAGTTGTTCAGAATATGCGAACATACTATCGGCTTGCTTGTTAGCAAATAACAAGGCTGGCATATCTGAATTTTGATCGAATGTTCCATCAAGGCAATGATTTTCTCCTCTTATTCGATCACAAAGTCGAGCTAGTTTGCGCACACATTCGAAGGAACTGTGTTCATAACCGTGAAGAGCAAATGCCGCATTGTTCGATTGTGGATCGTTACTATCTTGAAAACAATGTATTAATCGAGAAGGCAATACCCAACTTGAATCTAAATTTCCCACTAGACGATAATTTACAGTGGCTTTACTACCTAATACATCGATTAACTGATCAATCGTGCTCACTTGGGCAGTCTTGTCGTCACGTGTAAAGAGAAACGTAGCACACATTAGATGAGGATAAGCATAGGCCGCCTGATTAAATTCAATAGAAGTAGCAGCAGCGGAATGCCAATCAAAGACTTGCTTTAACGTGGGACGTTGTGGTGCTATTAGACCAGCATTAACCAGGTCGCCTAACATGACAGTATCGACTTCCACTACGTCATATTCAGGACCATTACTTCCTAACCATTGAGTGAGAGTTGACATTGCATAGAAGCCATCACTAATATTGAATGGTCGCAGATGTAAGCGAATATTCGGATGAATAGATTGAAATTCATCAATGATAAATTGAAAGAGACTTTTGTATTGATCACCGACCGAATCGGGTACATAGGGAAAAGGAGCCACTCGTAGATCTATTAAAGTTGCTTTCTCATAGTCGCTTTTTCGAGTATTAGATAGGTCATTTGAGTGAGCTTGTGTCTTCACTGGCATCATGTAGATAAGGAGCGAAAACATCATGATCAAATATGTTCCTCGGTACATTGCTTGAAAGTTTAAATTGTACAGCATCATTAGATGTTTTGCACAAAATGGAACACCCAAGAGTAAGTCAAATAAGTGGTATTCTTTATAAACCTATAGAGAAAAATACAAAACATTTCTAGTTTCATTTTCTAATTTTTCACATAATTCTATCACAAAATTATGAGAAAAAATGGAATAAACGATTCTAGTCGATTGTATAATGATGATAAACTATCTAGAAATTGAAGAAATCGAAGGAATTGAACGAAAAATATCTTTTACACACTCTACTTAAAGGAATATCGCTCAAATGGTGAGAATTTTTCTTTTAATTTGTCTTCAGCTGAATCATCGAATGCCTTTCGGTTATGTCTCCAGAAACTGAATGATTTTCTTAGTTGAAACGAATGAGAATCATAGTTGCAGTATAATGTCACTAATAGATAGAGAAACATTGAATAATCCGACTAACTATCCTATACTTTTGAAGTAGATTAATGTGAGAGAAATCGCAAATAATCAAATGACGACAGAAAGTGTGCTAACATATTCAGACACATCTCTCTATTTGTCATTAATCTTCGTTGTTATTTATATGATAGAGATAAATAACAAAACCATTGTTTTGAGACACATTTAAATACGTTCGATCGAAAATAAAAACAAAATCCTTAGACATCAATGTCGAGCAAAGATGACAGATTAAAATGTGTCGTGGTACTTCATATAGATTGATTCAGCTTTGACATTTTGCTACATCAATTTTACTAAGATAGTGAATGTCAAATATAAAAACTTGTAGAGATGCTAAAGAAAACAATTATCTCTGTTGGCAGAAGTAAACTTTTATTGATATGAATGAAAGCAATGAAAATAGACTATCAAGCGATGCTCTACTAAGCTTCACTGTTTAAATAATTAGCCCTCTTTAGAACGTAATCCCATTACTTCACAATCTACCAATCTTTCACACAAAACTTCAAGTGTTGAACTTTTATCAATACATACGAGTCGAGGAAGTGAGCACGATAGTTCGAAAATATAAACAATGGTCTTCTAGCTCACAACAGGATTCTCATTCATGAGACATTGTCTCTCCATTCAAAAGAAAACAAATATTAAAGCGTGAATAAATATACATTTGCTCGCATCCTCTACAGGCGGCATTTGTTTAGAGACATGCTTGTTGTTGTAATAGCATTGGAATATGAATAACAGCGGCTCAGTTGCTTTGAAGAACTACCGGATGCATTTTTTCTGCGCCTTATCTTTCTATCGAATTTTATTTACTTATAGAAGTTCCATTCAAATTGTGCTTGCTGCAATGATATTTTAGCATAATCACAAACCTACTCTCGTATGCAATCAGTGCAGTTGGAACCCAAAATATTAAGAAAATTGAAATTTTCATGCAAAAAGGGTGTGGGTGCGGGTGTGGGTGTGGACCTTATCATTATGAATCCAGCTACACACTCACACCCAACCCACACCACGCCCACACCACGCCCACACCACGCCCACACCACGCCCACACCACGCCCACAACACGCCCACACCCACCCACACCCACACCCACCCACACCCACATCCACCACACCCCACACCCACACCCACACCCACACCCACACCCACACCCACACTCTCAAGGTCAAACATACGCTGACGTGTTACAACTGTTTTTCAGTCAACTTTGCAAAACATCAGTTCAATCACATCGTCGAATATCAAATACCAGCATAAACCAATCTTAATAAACATTTTTTTGCTTTTTTAATGCTTTTATTTAGGGTGCCTCCCTTTATATTATATTACCAAGCATGATGAGTGATTAATTTATCTATTAAAGGTCATAAACTATCAATTAATGTCACAATACTCTATTTTTTCATGAAAAGGTTTTCTAGAGACCTCCTGAAGATCCTCTGAAGATGTCGAAAGTGTGCCCATTGGATTCGCCATCAGTTTTTACCCAAGTGAACAAATTTTTACTCAATTTGAAGAAAAAATAGGCATTTTATTCAAAGATGACCTACCTGCTTAGTCTATCCTACCAGTAAAAGCGATTATTCTCAACATAGGAAAGAAAAGAAAAAAAATTCTCTGTAACTTTGTAAGTGGTGGTGTGATGAGTCGAATGAGATAAAATATTTACCTTTATCATTTACGTGGAAAAACTAGATAGGTTTACAAAATCGACCTATACGTCGTGCGGGTGTGGGTGTGGGTGTGGGTGTGGGTGTGGGTGTGGGTGGGTGTGGGTGTCTCACGTTATGCTATAAATATCTAAAAAAAGTTTCTTGTTAATATAACTCAAGGAGAAGTATATCGACGTTGTCATAATTCATCTCTATATGAAATGAGCAATATTTCTTCGGCTTATGTGTTTGATTTCCTTGTTTCGACTCCTGAGAATATTTTTTTTTGCAACTTTAACAAATCGTGATCAGATAAGAGAAAAGATAGTTTAAAGTTCCTTTGAAATTTAAAGACAACTAATGATAGTGGTTGCTAACTTTCTGCTCCACACATTAAAATAGATTTAGTACGGGCTGATGGATTCGGCTTAGATTTACGTTAACGTAATCTCACTTTACACGAACCCAGTAGATAATAAAATATATGAATAATACGTAAGGCTGCTATTACAGCAAGAACATCACCTTATACTCACCATGAAAGACGACGTATTGCCCAAAACTTCCTGCTTATCTGGATGAACACTGGTATGGATCCATCAAATAAAGATTGTCAAGTTACCCTGGCCCAATTACAAAGCGTCGTCAATGACGTAAATATTTTCACCCAACCAGATGAATGTGTCGACTTTCTCACTGAAGTCGATGACATGAAAGTTTTCATGATTGTAGAAGGTGCTCTTGC